ACATGTGCATCCATGTAATCCAGTGCATGTTCCCAGTGCATGTCCAACATGTGCATCCATGTAATCCAGTGCATGTTCCCAGTGCATGTATCCAACATGTGCATCTCACACACGGATCCAATCCATGTTCCCACTGCGTCTCCCATACGTGCACTCAATTCATGTATGCAATATGTGCATCAATGCATGTTCCCAATGGATACATCCAACACATGTCCAATGTTTATCCGTGTGCATCCAGTGCATGTTCCCTGTGCACGTATCCAACATGTGCATCCACTGCATGGATCCAACATGTGCATCCAATGCATGTACCCAATGGGTGCATCCAACATGTGTGTCCAACATGTGCATCCACATGCATGTACCCAATACATGGATCCAACGCACGCATCCAACCTGTGTGTCCAACACCTGCATCCCACACAGCTTCCAGCATGGAGTCCAACACCTGCATCCCACCTGGAGCCCCCCCATGCCCCCAGGAGCACACAGGGACATCCCAGCCCCCAAACCCACATCCCCCCCCAGCCCCTGCAGCGGTGCCGCGGTTCCGTGTTCCCCCCTCCCCGTCCGCGGGCTCGCTGCCCATCTGCCATTCCCAACCTGCCTCCCACCTTCCCGTGCCCTGATTTCCTCCTTGGCTGCCCTGGGAGAAGGATTTCTCCCGGCGCAGCGGGGTCACGGCGAGGGTAACTGCGTTAGCGCGGCTCCAGGACGGATGGGGCTGTTGGAGCAGAGTCTCGCTGCCATTTGTACTCCGGGTTTCGCTCCGAGGGCTGGGAGCAGCCTCTGGATTCGTCTGCTCTGCTCCCGGGCCCTGAGACAGCACGGATAGATTTTCTAAGAGCCGTCCTTTTCCATAAAAAATGTTTGATGGCGGTATTGACAGACCCACCGGTGGAGAAGGGCAAGGAAATATTTCCAAATGGTTTATCTGGCAGCTGTGGATTTCAGCTCATGTTGCTTATTGACCTCTAATTGTTTCCAGTAGTTGCGGGAGACAGGAAGATCAATAGGGATGGGAGGGAGTTAATACCCTCCCGGTGCACTTAACTGTAGTTGGGAAACACTGGAATTCATCTTCCTGGGATTTTTAGCACATTTGTAACCGAAACATTGGGCAACCGTATCTGAGACTGCTCTGTGAGCTGATTCTGTGCAGAGACTTAATTCCCTTCCTAATCCCTCTCCTCACCTGGTCCTGGGGCTCAGAGCAGCCTCCTGGTTGTCCAGCTGCCCTTCCCTGGAGCTTTGGAAATTCAGGAGACCCTGATCTGGGGGGGAGATGCCAATAAACTCTTCTCCTGAAGAGCCCGAGCAGCTCCTTTGTTCCACACTGTGGGGTTGGGGTGTTTGTGGAGTACAGTCCAAATGTAAGGCTTTCCTAGGAAATTAGGATGCACACACCCACCCCTGAGGAATTTTGAGCAGTCATAGAACCATCAGAAAATCCTGGAATGGTTTGGGTGGGAAGGGACCTTAATGAACATCTTGTTCCACCCCCTGCCGTGGGCAGGGACACCTTCCACCAGCCCAGGTTGCTCCAAGCCCCGTCCAACCTGGCCTTGGACACTTCCAGGGATCCAGGGGCAGCCACAGCTTCACTGGGCAACCTGTGCCAGGGCCTCCCCACCCTCACAGCCAGGAATTCCTTCCCAAGACCCTGGAGAGGCCGGGAGAGGGGGACAGCAGAGACTCTGGGATGGAGATGGAGGTGCAGAGAGGGACCAGTCTGCAGGGGTCGGGAAAAAGGGGGATGTGCTGGGTGATCTCTCTCCTGCCCCGGGGTGGGAGCCGGTGGCCACACCCTCCTGGGCCACCTGTGGGGCCACCAGCAGTTCCCTGGGGATGCCTTTTTGCCGGGCTGGAGGCAGTGGCAGAGCTGCAGGTGCCGGGTGATTGTTCCCGGTGGGGCCCCCCCGGCTCCTGTCACCAGGAATCACGGCAGAGCCGTAATCTTTCATTAGCGCATTCAGCACTAATTGCTGGCAGGATGCCACGTGCCTATTTTCTCATTTTAACAAAACATTTATGCATGAAAGATTTAATGCCAGGTATCAAGCATATCATTGTAAATTTACCACTAATTAAGCCTAATTAAAATAATTAAATGGCTGTGGAGTCACAATGTGAATTAAAATCACATTTCCTCTCGTGTGCATGCCCCTCTCCTCACTGCCCTCACTTCGGCTTCCACACGCAAACACTTTCCCATTCGGATGCAGGGGACGCGTTGGTGTGGCAGAGGGACTTCATCCTTCCCACAGTGCCGGGATCTGGGGGGCAGTTTTTCAATCCCGGGACCTCTGGAGGTTCTCCTCGCCGCGGATGAAGTATGGACAATTTGACAAATCTGTTCCTCGGAGCAGTCGCTGCCTTTTGCATATTCATTACTCATCGGGTTTTTAATCAAAGTCGCTGATGGACCCTTTGCACCACAAATAACTCGGTCATGAATAATTGATGGTGTTTAGCTGGGTCGGGGTGCGGGGGGCGCTCCTGGCACCACATGGCGCTGCAGATGTTCGGGTTTCACATGTGCACAGCTCATCAAACCCAGCCCCGGGCGGGGCCGTCCCTCGGCTCGCCATCTGCCGAAACGGAGCCCGGGAATTGTGGGAGAGGGGTTGGGTTCCTCCGCCGCTGCTTCCTCCCCTTTGCCTTCGGCTGGAGAGCTCCAGACAGGGCTCCTGCCCTGCTCCTCCAGCTGCGGGTGACCAGGGGCTGGGCAGCTCCAGGGCATGCTCTGGATGGGGCTCCAGGAACTCCAGGGGTTGCTCTGGATGGGGCTCCAGGAACTCCAGGGGTTGCTCTGGATGGGGCTCCAGGAACTCCAGGGGTTGCTCTGGATGGGGCTCCAGGAACTCCAGGGGATCCTCTGTGCAGAGACTCCAGGGGATCCTCTGGGGAGGTGATCCAGGAGCTCCAGGAACTCCAGATGATGCCCTGGCCAGGCTCTCCAGGAAATAGAGGGGATGCTTTGGCCAGGGAATCCAGTAGCTCCAGGGGATGATCTGGCCAGGTATCCAGGGCATGTTTTGACCAGGAATTCCAGGGAGTGTTTTGACCAGGTGCTCCAGGAGCTCTGGGGGATGTTTTGACCAGGAATTCCAGGGGATGTTTGGACCAGGTGCTCCAGGAGCTCTGGGGGATGCTCTGGCTGGGGGCTGGATGGTGTCCCTGCCCATGGCAGGAGGTTGGAACAAGATGGTCTTTAAGGTCCTTTCCAACCCAAACCATTGCAGATTCCAGGACTCCATGGTGGGGATACAGGCCTGGCCATTCCCTATCTCCCTCCAAAGGCAGTGGGTGTCAGCAGGACCTGCAGGGATGTCCTCAAGGAGGGATGCAGCTCTTGGCTTCCTCCCACCAGGCTCGGGGCTGGAAGCAGTGTGACCATGGACACGTCACAAACGGCATCCAGGCGTCGCTGCTGGATCCAGGATGCACGTGGGATGCTCTGGGAGGCAGATCTGGATCCAGGATGCACGTGGGATGCTCTGGGAGGCAGATCTGGATCCAGGATGCATGTGGGATGCTCTGGGAGGCAGATCTGGATCCAGGATGCACGTGGGATGCTCTGGGAGGCAGATCAGGCACCCACTGGCTTCTGGTGCTTTGGGAAGCATCCCTGGGCTGCTCCAGCAAGGCTTGGCAGGTCCCAGAGGTCCCACTGCTGGAGTCAGACAGTATTTGGGATGGTCACAGGTGCCTTTCAGAGCCAAGGGACATCCGTGTCAACCTGAGCCACAGACTGAGAGGCCCAGAGGCTGTGAAACCCCACGGGTGGGGGGTCACAAGAGCATCACCCCCCGGCCCTTCTGTCCCCCAGGGAGCGGGGCAGGACCTTGGCTTCAGTTTTGCAAGAGATTTGGTGTTTGGAGGGAAGGAGGGAGGCTGGCAGGGCACAGGGAGGGAAGGAGGAGGCTGGGAGGGCACAGGGAGGGAGGGAGCAGGCTGGGAGGGCACAGGGAGGGAGGGAGCAGGCTGGGAGGGCACAGGGAGGGAGGGAGCAGGCTGGGAGGGCACAGGGAGGGAAGGAGGGAGGCTGGCAGGGCACAGGGAGGGAAGGAGGAGGCTGGGAGGGCACAGGGAGGGAGGGAGCAGGCTGGCAGGGCACAGGGAGGGAGGGAGCAGGCTGGGAGGGCACAGGGAGGGAGGGAGCAGGCTGTCTGGGGCGGTGCTGCATCATTCACTGCCGCCCTCCCCTGGGTGGTCTCCGGGGCACAATGGGTTGCAGAGCCCCTTTGTGCGCTGCTGCCCTGGATTTTGGGCTCCAGTCATTGAAGGAAACCCGGGCAAGGCCCTGTGCAGGATGATTAACCTCTTCTTTCCCAGGCACGGCCTCATTCTGCCCCTCAGAGGGGTGTCCCCGGGTGGCACCCCCGGGCCGGGCTGTGCCAGGAAGGGGCCGGGTTTGGGTCCCTGGCAGAGGGTTTGGGTCTGTGGCTGATTGGTCCTATGGCTGGGCCCTCTAATCCCCAAAAACCTCCCCTAAACTCCTTGGCAAGGCTGCCTGCTGCGGGCAGGACACTGCGGCAGCACTGTGGGGGCACTGATGGCACTGATGGCAGGCACCGGGATCACATCCAGACTGACACCCCATCCCGCTCCAGCAGGGCTGAGATCCCCCAGCGTGGGAGGGTGGTCTCAAATTGGAAAGAAGGGGCACACGTTTCACCCCCCTCGGGCTGCAGAGAACAGCGAGGGAGGGGGAGGTTTTGGGAGGTGTGAGGGCACAGGTGACCACAAGGGGTTTGGGGACAGGCCCAAGCCTGTGTTGAACGTGCACCCCGAGTGTGGGAACCCCCCTCCAGCCAGGGAGCTTCCCTGTGCCTGCTGGGATTGCGGGAAGCACAGGGCTGCAGAGCACTGCCCATTCATCTCCTTCATCTCAGAGGGTGGCAGGTTCAGGGTTTGTTGCTCCTTTTGTAACCCAGGGATGAAACAGTTGGGGTTTTATATTAAAAAAAAAAAAAAGAGACAGGGAAGAGGTGTTGGTTTTGTAAAGAGAGCTGTAATTGTGGCTGTGAAGGTGGATGCTCTGCAGCCTCCCGGGAAAGGCCCCTCCAGGTCCATAAATAATTCAGCTGCTCTGACAGACCGAGTTCCTCCGCTCAGATAAGTCTATTGATCCTCCTCTGGTTTGAATCCTGGGGATGGAGCTTCCCACACAGGCTCTGCCAGCTCTCCCCTGCACAGGCAGAGGAGCGTCTTGGCATCCTCCACCCCTCCAGGATGGAGGTTTGAGTCACCATCCCGCCGGGAAGCACCCGGTGCCCTCCCCTGAGAAATACCCGGTGCCCTCCCCTCCAAGAGCCCATTGCTGAGGCCCTTTAGCACCTCTCCTCTTAACGACAGGATAATTAACTCTTCTGGCTAATCACTCGGGGGTTTTCACGCTGCAAGCGAGCACTTCTGCTCCCTGTTAAAAGCAAACGTTATGGCATCATCTTCCCGACCTGGTGGGGTAAATTACAGAGAGACACCAGGCTTCCTGGAGGCTGCAGCATCCTCCTGCCACGGCATCCTCCTGCCACGGCATCCTCCCACTGTGACATCATCCTCCTACCACGACAACATCCTCTTGCCATAAAAACATCCTCCAGCCACAACAGCAACCTTCCATCCTCCTGCCTCAGCAGCATCCTCCTGCCACGGCAAGATCCTTCCATGGTGGAAGCAGCATCCTCCCACCTCGAGAGGATCCTCCTGTCACAACCCCCTCCCCCCCACGGCAGCATCCTCCTGCCATGGCAACGTCCTCCCACCGTGACATCATCCTGCTGCTGTGACATCACCCTCCCGCCACCACAACATCCTCCTGCCATGGCAACACCCCCCAGCACCAACCACAACACCCTCCCACCCCAGGAGCATCCTCCCACCGTGGCAGCATCCTCTTGCCGTGCCATCCTCTTGCCTGCTCCCACCTTTCCAGCACCTTCCCTCCCTGGCAGCACCCTCAGTTTGTTGGGCATTACATCCCTCCCTGAGCAATGACACCACCAGGACCCCTTGCCCAGGCACAGGTGATGGTGCCCAGGTATCCCAAGACACCTCCTTGGCACAGGGACCCTCCCCCCTTGTTGAAGAGATCCAACTGCTTCAACTGGATTAAGCATTTGGGTTTGACTTGGATTAATGTTTTTTTTTTTCCCTGAATATAAACCATTTTGCATTTCAAAATCCTTCAGCAAACAGAGCAGTTTGTCTTTGTGTTTGCTAATTTAAAAACAAATATTTGCCTGCCAAGCAAATATAGTCTCTTAGGATGTGCTATTAATAGGATAATTAGGCAGCCGGTAATGAAAAGGATTGCTGGTAATTATGGCAAGATTTGTTTTGGCATTTGAAGGCAGAAAGGGAGGCTGAAGTGCTAAAATCTACCTTCGAGTTAATTAGTGCTATTAGAATACACCTGAAAAAATAGGGCAGCTAATGAACACTCCAGTTTGGTTTTAAAGAGGCCGGGAAGGTGTTTTTCTGTGAGATGCTCAGAAAGGAAACAAAATCCTCTTTCTTTCAGCTTCCCACAGTTTGGGGTGGAACAAAGTGTCGTTCCACGGGAGATGGAATTTGGGGTGTGCTGACCCTTTTGGGGTATCCCACCCCTTTTAGGGTGTGCTGAACCTGTTGGGGTGTCCCACCCCTTTTAGGGTGTCCCGTCCCTTCTGGGGTGTCCCACCCCTTTTAGGGTGTGCTGTCCCTTCTGGGGTGTCCCACCCCTTTTAGGGTGTCCCGTCCCTTCTGGGGTGTCCCACCCCTTTTAGGGTGTGCTGTCCCTTCTGGGGTGTCCCACCCCTTTTAGGGTGTGCTGAGCCTGTTGGGGTGCAGGTTTGGCTGCGGGGGGTTCCTCTGGTGTCTCTGTGGGGGATTGGCTGAGCTGGGTGGGAAGGGGCAGCTCATTTTGCAGCCCGTGGCAGGAGCTGGGGTTACATAAACCCTCCCCTCGCACACAAACCCCCACGTCAGCTGCCCCGAAATGATTAATTAGAAAATTACATTTATATAACCCTCTAATCTGTATTTGTGTGTTGCCAAGGGCAGAGGCAGAGGTAGGGGAATTACATCCAGATTAGCTCTGAGCCAGAGGAAGCCCAGATCTGCGATTATTTTGAGGGCAGAAATTGTAAAATTGTACCAATCCGGGGAAAAAGAGCCAAAATTAGGCCTTTTTTTTTTTTTTTCCACCTTAATTCCCCCCTTCCCCGGCTGAGAAAAGAGAGCAGATGAATGGAGCGAGGTGGTGCCTTTCAGGGGTTACTGGGTGAGGGCCCCGGGGCCGCCTCTGTGCAGCGAGAGGTGAGGGGAGAGAAAAAGCTGATTTCCAGCTGAACATGGCCTTCAGTTTCCCAAACAAAATTGCTTTTATTCTTCTCAACATGTGTTCCAAAAGATTAAAGAGCTGTAAGCTTGCACAGCTTAATAAGAGTGTGCATTAGAAGAGTGGCCCTGGAACGGCGGCGCAGAACGAGCCCCCCCCCAGTTTGGGGAGGATTTGAAATCCTGTTTATTGAATTATAAAGAACCTTAAAGGATAAAGGATATTGAAGTAGGGATTTTAATACTTGGTGGTATTTGGGGGAGTTATTCGATCACAACAAATCATTTTAAAAGTATTTTGTTGGGTTTTGGTTTTTTTTGGGGGGGGGGATGGGGGTGAAGAGTTAATTGAAAAATAGGCCGTGGCTCCGCCGGCGGGATCGATCCGGGCCCGGGTCGTTGGGAAGGATATGTTTTCTCTGTAATTATGGGCACAAATTAAAGATGAAGCCCGAAGGCTCTGGGAGATGCTCTATTAACTGACAAAGCCCAGAGCCATGGGTGGCTTCCCTGCTCGGAGGAAATTTCGGGATAAGCCAGTCCTGGAAGGCGGACGGAGCCCGGCACATCTTTACTGTGTCAGTCGGGGGGGATGAGTTCCTAATAAGATTTGGGATGGGCAAAGTGCCTGAGAGCGAGGCAGGGGCTGAAATCCCTGTGATTGCCCTCTGTCTCCGGGGAGTTTGGGGGTGACCCTGCAGGGTGGGGCTGGAGCTGCTCCCTCCTCATCCTCCCTGGTGATGGGCACTGGCAGGAGTGGGATTAACTCCAGGTCCAGGCTTTGCTGGATGGGGGGATTTGCAGCTCCTAAGCAGCCCCGTTGTCTGTGATAACTTATGCTGTTCTGCTCCCTAAGAGGATTGGGCAGATTAAATGAAATCATGAGACATGCTATGCAAATTACATCCCAAATCTGATTTTCTGTTGGGGATTAGGGTTAAAATATTGGGAAGTGGAAACTTTTTCCTCGTCTGATCTAGGGGGTGCACTTTCCAAACGTGCCAGTGAGGGTTGGCTCCAGAGTCCCAGCGACTTCCTTGATGTTTTCAAGCCCAGTGTTTTCAAAATAATAAAAATAAAATACCCCTGGGCTGCTCTGTAGGGATCTGGGGGCCTTTGTGCCATCTCGTGTATCCTGCTGATGGGATAATCCCCCTGCAGTGTCACAGATCCAACCTCAGCCCACACTGGGATATCTCTGTACACCTGCAAAATCTCTGCAGCTTCCCCAGGGTCTGCTGGGGTTACTTTACACCTTTTAATCTCTTTTGCTCTGGTAGATTTTGGGAATAAATTGCTCCCTGTGAGGGTGGGGAGGCCCTGGCACAGGTTTCCCAGAGAAGCTGTGGCTGCTCCATCCCTGGAAGTGTCCAAGGCCAGGTTGGACGGGGCTTGGAGCGACCTGGGACAGTGGAAGGTGTCCCTGCAGAGCTGCATCCCTGGGAAAATTCCAACTGGCCACATTTTAAGGGATATTTGAAGGGATTCGAGGCCTTGCAGGGCAAAACCAGCCACAACAATCCCCACCCATCTCCCTGTGAGCACTTTGGTGGGCGCAGGGGTCGGGGGTGTTTCGCTGCCCCATCAGTGTTTGGTGTCCCAAGATGCAGCTCCTGGGACAGGCTGGGCTGTGCCTTTTGGCTCCTGTGCGTGGAGTGTTCCTTTTAAACACTTCCAGCCTGGTTCAATTTGTTTTCTATTACCAGCAGCCCCAGTGCCTCTGCAGTCGTGTTGATCAAAGCAGAACACGTTGGCTGACATGGAAACACTTCCAAAACCGGGGGGCTCAGGGGGGAATGCGGCCTCTCCATGAACTCTCTGGAAAAACAACGTACCCCGGGGCTGCCTGGCTGCTAATGGGGTGTTTTGGGAGGCCCTGGGTGGGATCTGGTGCCATCAGTTCAGCACAAACCATTAAAATCCAGGCCAAAGCCGGCGCTGGGATGGAGATTCCCCCCTTCCCCCAGCACAGTGCAGCCCCTCTGTGATGGCCTTTGGAGGATTCCCGTGGAGGGAACGTGGGGGTCTCCCCCACAGGAGTGTCTGTGATCCCAGTGGGACCTGTCCCCCCATCCCAAGCTTCCCAGCTGTGCTGCCTGGCCGGGATGAGGCCACATGAGCGGCCACAGCTGAAGTTTCCCGAAGGCAGATGTGGGAGCTGGCACTGCCTTCCCACTTTTATTTGGGGTTTTGATCCAGTCCTGGAATGTAAATTAAAGCAGAGGCAAAACAGATGGGGCCAAATCCTGCTGCTGGATCCGTGGGCACCCGTCCTGCTGGATCCCACAGCAAGGGGAGCTGCACCCCCTGATCCATCCACCCTGGCAGGGGCTGCTGGAGGTGGAGAGAGGGGTCAGAGGGTTTGGGGTCCTGGGAAGTGCATCCTAAAGAGCCTGAACATAGAGGAAGGGTCCTTCCTCCTCTGGGAAATGGAGTCTGGGAATCCAGGGACTTGGGGGGATCCCGGTTTTGAGGGGGATCCCTGCCCAAGGGGATGCAGGAGGGAGGGGATGTGGTACCCAGGGATGCAGGAGGGAGGGGATGTGGTACCCAGGGATGCAGGAGGGAGGGGATGTGGTACCCAGGGATGAAGGAAGGAGCAGATGTGGTACCCAGGGATGGAGCAGGGAGGGGATGTGGTACCCAGGGATGAAGGAAGGAGGGGATGTGGTACCCAGGATGCAGGAGGGAGGGGATGTGGTACTCAGGGGTCAGGTCCTGCAAGGGGAGGTCCTGCTCCCTTCATCTGCCATCAGTGTGAGCTCTCCCTGGATTCCTGAGCTGGGATTCCCTTCTACCCAACCAGCTCCAGCTCAGCTCTGGTAGTTTTTTACTTCCTATTTTCTAATTGAAAAGACCTTTTGGTCACATTATTCCTATATATGGGATTAAAATGTAACTGCCTGAATTGAAAGGCTGCCATAAGCTGTTTCCCCCCCCATCCCCCTCTGATCCATCCCAGTGCTCCAAAATCTGTCTCCAAAGCTTAAATTATTCCAGAAAATGTCTTATTTCTCCTTTTGTGTCTCGCAAATTTATGAGGGGAGGGACTTTTTATTTTCAGGGATTAATCATGGCAAGGGGAACATAAAGGGTAAGTCATAATAATGGGGTTTGAATTAAACTCCTAAACTTCCAGCCCCTGATCCCAGGGAGATTAGAGCTCACATACCTCGGGACCACATGAAAGGTGCCTGGGCAGCGTCCCCAGCCCCCCAGCCCCGGGGTAATGGGGCCTTAATGAAAACTTCCAAGGGATGTTTATATTAATTCCAGAGGGAAAACTCCCAAGGCAGAGGTTGCAGGGAGCTGAGGTGCTGCTTTGGGGTGAAGCTCAGCACAAACAGGGTGTGCTCCCAAGGGCTCCAGCCTCAGGT